TAAATTCTATAGAATATGGCAATGGAATATGCTATATGATAAGAAGTCCTATAGAATATTCTATGGGATTTAGAATATGTTATAGCATATTCTATAGGATTCTATAGAACATTTTCGTAAGGGTGTGCATGAGAACTAAAATACTACTGTATTTGCAAAATAATTTGTGTGACAAGGCTCTACACTTGCGACTTCAATCTCGTCAGAGAAAACCCATTTATTAATATTAATTTTAAAAAAGTTGCTGTAAATGATCTGCATATGTTCACTGGTTGACTGGAAGGTTTATCAGGTCAGGTTGATTGGGATGTATTCAACTTTTCAATGCATTATTCACCACATGAAAAAGAGTTGGGCATTTCACATAATGGCATCAAATGTGGTATAACTACTGCCTAAAATAGACGAAACACTTCTCAACGTTTCGACCTGAGGGCCTTCGTCTGGAGAGTTAGAATGAAAGTAAATAGGGGAGAACACATGTTTTGTAAGGGGGAAAAACACGTGATAAAAATGGGCCAATAGAAAATAAAAAGTCAAAACAACGCCTGGCTCTGGGCTAAGAATAGCCCGCAATGAGAGAAGCCTGATCAGCAACGAAAACATATTACAACTATTGACATATATAATTATACGTATATATGTATACGTGCAGTACATACATTATACGTATGAAGCAACGATTATTAGTAAATGCTTATTAATTTGATAGATTTGGTATATTTACTCAGGGCTCAGATATTAGAAAACACCGCTGTTTCTCATGAGCTTCAAAATTTGACCTGATGGTAATCCAATACAGTGTGAACAGCTTTAAGCCTTTTTCATGCGCACGTAAACCTAAAATTGTTAACTTATCGCCAGAATAATATGATGTTATCGATGATATGATGTTATATGATGCAACAAATTTTCAGACTACAGTTTAAGACTCTCGTAGACGAATATGTCGAACATAAACAAAATCACGCCTTACTTAAGTGCATCGAAAACGAGAAAATATCCTGGAAAATATTTATGTGGCAAAAAGCGCGTGTACAAGAGCTGTTTTCTGGTTAATACCCTGTATTTATAATAACAGACGGATGATGCGTCTCTATAGTCACAACATATGGTTTTGACCATGCATGTAGATTATCACATTCTAAATTTTGAACTAGTACGTTTGTGATTATAAATGATTTATCAACAACACCGTAAAGTAGACATGTTTGGTTGTATGTGCATGTAGGTGCAGAACAGCGCTGTGGCGTCGTATTGAATAAACTTGCATTATTAAATGCCTGGCACTGCACAGCGCTTCGTCGCGTTGTGGTCTTGTGTGATACTGATACTGGAAAAACATTCCTCGCTTCTTTTAAACCTGCTATTCTAAGATATTTCAGGTTATCGCCATAATACTCATTTTATTTATTTATATCTAAGACCCTGAATCTATCTTCTATATATATACAATAATTCGGGATTAACTAACTCAACATTCCCAGAAGCGAAATGTTTATTTTATATACTATAATCGACCATTTTTTACAATGAAATCAATAATATGAACTTTCTGCTAATGAAAATGACCCCCTAAAAATACAAATTCCATAACTACATGAAACTCGCACAGAAAGGTGCATGGCAGTTTTAAATTAATTATGATTTTTGGCACTTCACTCGATGCAGGTAAATTCTAGAGGTTTTAAAGGGTCTTATTTTCGAGTGGAATTGTACACACTTCAAATTCAAGCCAGTAACAGTTGATGGAAAAATGAGTCAACTATCGGTTCTCTGGCAGGAATCGAAATGCTCAAGAGAAAATTTAATTTAAAAATTAAACGAGACTTATCTGTAAGTTGAAGTTTGATTTGAATTATACAACGTCATCAGTCCTGAGCGAAAGAGTAACATGAGAAGCACACGCTCGCTTTCCTAGCCATATTTTAAAGACAGCCAACTCGCTGATTCTTACACGGAACGAAGAAGTATCGGGAGGGACAACTCTCCACAATGAAGGGAGGACATGTTACTCCTTCGTTCAGGACTGATGACGTTATATAATTCAAATCAAACTTCAACTTACAGGTAGCTAAGTTTCGTTTAATTTTCAAATTATATACGTCATCAGTCTACGTCACTACGGAGTAGCATGAGAATTGAAAGATGTGAGGGTCAGCTGGTTGCAAGATGAAAGTGAATCCCAACCATCTCAGTGTTTGATACACCGTCTTAATAGTTTATTATCAGAGCTATACAAGATATATAAGTCATTCGCGATCATTGTTGTCCTCGCTATTAAAGTGATTAAGTATGCTGTTTCCAAAATTGGCGACGATTGGTTTATTATAATGTTTGGCAAATGTTTCTACATTTGTCCAACCGCCAGCTTTAAGTACGTCCTTAAGGGACAACCCAGATAGGAATCCGTAAGACGAGGACGCTGTCCGGCTACTGTGAGCTGAGAAATTGTTTATGTCGATGCCTGAGCCTTTGAGGACACGTTTGACCCAACGACCAATTGTGGAATTTGTAACCGGTTTAAATGATTTGACGTAACTTAGTAGCAATTTGGAATCAGCTCTCATAGGTTTAGTTTTAATAATATAGTGTTTAATATGGGCTTCAGGGCAGAGGCGGATGTCCTCGGAATAGCTTTTAACCTTGATAGGCGGGAGGTGTTTTCCCGCCTTCGTGGTTTTTAGTTTCTCGCGTATTGTAAAAATAATTCCATCATCAGTTTCCTGCATGAAATCGAGGTTTAAAGATAAGGTTTGGCATCGTTGTGCAGTTAAAAGAGCCAATAAAGTTAGTTTTTTCGTCAATATTAATAGAGGTAGCTTCTCCATGGCAGGCAGGTACTGCATGTATTTAAGAACTGTGCCCACCTCCCATACGATCGAGTATTGGGGGAGGGATGGTTTAAGCTCGAATATATCTTTGAGAAATCGGCTCACCAAAGGGTGTTCGCCAAACGTTCGCTCGCTATTTGGAGTTATCACTGCAGATAGTGCAGACCGCGCTGTGTTAATGACACTGTAGCCTACTTCTTGTTTGTATAAGAATGTAAGAAATTCGAGCCCATCCTGCATGTTGGCTCGTTCCATATTTATATCATTGTTTTTGCAAAGTCTAATCGATTTTAAAAGATAACACTGGTATTGTTTCCCTGTTGCCTGGCGCCATGAAGCTATTATAATATTAACTGTTGCATCCGATAACCCTTGGGCAATTAGCTGTTGCCGGATAAGTGGCAGACTAGCAGCACCAGCGACTTGTGTAGGGGGTGTAACTCCCGAGGTTGGCGGGGTAATTTCAACAGGTTTCTCCCCGGACCCACGCGTGCAGAGGGTTGTCTTCACATTTGCATGGCTTTGGCGTACCAGGGTTGTGTTGGCCAGTCTGGCACTATCACTACCCCCGTACCTCCTTCCTCTTGGATTTTTTGCAGTAATGCGGCCATGACACTAAATGGAGGGAAGGCATAGAACTGGAATTTAGCCAGGTTAATTTTGAATGCATCTACCGCGATTGCACCTGGGTCAGGTTGGTATGATACATAGGTAGGAAATTGAGTATTAAGGACAGAAATGAGCTAATATCTGTCTAGTAGCTAATATCTGGCGCTTGTGTATATAATAATTTGTGTTATCCGACTATCCCGCGAAAAGCTAGATTTTGAAATAAAGCCTGAAAAGGACTAACTATAATAAACCATTACTAAATTACTCTACCTTACTCACATAACCAAGCGATATAAGTCTTGCTAGAACAGTAAGCTTGAAGGATGCGTAGTTGCTGTTTAACAAATCCTCAGCGATGAAGAAATTTGATGTTGCGGCTAAGAAAGCGTGTTCACGCCGCGGTGTACAATGGGTAGGAAAGCGAGCGCGTGCTTCTCATGGTACTCCGTAGTGACGTAGACTGATGACGTATATAATTGCTTTTGAAATGAATAAGACGTCTCCAGACAGTTTAGGTAAACTAAATAATTCAATAATAGAAATATTTTGTTTTTCTTTTTATCACATGCGTACCAGGCTACTAATACGAATTCATGTATTTCTTGTTTGTTTCAAGTGCAAATACATGCCTTATGCCATATAATAACCTTTTTATTAACCTCGCTTTCTCGGTCTTTACCGAGGATTATCGGACTTCGATCTTTTTGTACAAACTTCGCTCTTAATTCGAGCTCGGTCTGTTCAAAAAGACCTCGGTCCGATATTTCTCGGTAAAGACCTCGCGCTCGGTTAATAAGAAGTTATTATTCTTATTAGAAAATGTCGGTATTTAGTTTTGTCTTCAAATGTCCTTAAATGGCCACGATACGAGGCTGAAACAGATGATGTTAGTTATATATACGGGAGTAAAGTTCTGTGATGTTTCTGTGATGTATACAGTTATAGAAACACGCGTAAGAGTTTGGGAGAACGAGAAATAATGAGATGAGTGGGTTTTCCACGTTATGTTATTTATCTGCGAAATATCCACAAACTTACAACCTTAAAAATCAAATCTGTTTCATGATTCCAAGATGCAACGACAACAGATCTAAGAAAACTTATATTATAACAAATCTTAGAATTAAGAATGATGCTAAATTTTAATGTTTTTTATTCTATGACCGAACAGAATGTATAGTTAGTTTTTATATAACCACAGTTTAAACTAGTTATTAGAATGTTTGCTATAAATTATAGATACATTCTTAATGATACCTACTTTTTATTTATTTGCGAAAATCATGTGTATTTCAGCTTTAGGGCTGCGAAGTGATTTGTTTTAGTAAACAGTAATAATAATATTCATTCTATCAAACAAAATTGAGGGTTTGTATACGATCTGAAATATAAATATGGTCTCCCGCTTCGTGGTCGTGAGATTTTTGTAATGACGCATCAGCACTCCACTCAGTACAATTACCATTATAAATACGCATCCCACGTGACACTCACATGACATTCTAGCCGCTGATTGGGTGGGTTAAAGTTACAATCAGAATTTTTTCTTTCCAGGTTTTAAATCTACATTTCAGTCCATCTGTCCGTTATCCTTCCTGAGAATTTTGACCATGTAGTGGAATCGTCGCTTTGAAGATTTGAGAAGGTACGTTTGTGTCAGTGTTGGTTACTTTCTTCGAATATTAACAACATGAGTGTCTATTGTATTCTATTGAGTGGCATAGTACAGAGCTATGACGTCATTACGTTCTTCGAATATTAACAGTATGAGTGTCTATTGTATTCTATTGAGTGGCATAGTACAGAGCTGTGACGTCATTACGTTCTTCGAATATTAACAGTACGAGTGTCTATTGTATTCTATTGAGTGGCACAGTACAGAGCTGTGACGTCATTACGTTCTTCGAATATTAACAGTATGAGTGTCTATTGTATTCTATTGAGTGGCACAGTACAGAGCTGTGACGTCATTACGTCCTTCGAATATTAACAGTATGAGTGTCTATTGTATTCTATTGAGTGGCATAGTACAGAGCTGTGACGTCATTACGTTCTTCGAATATTAACAGTACGAGTGTCTATTGTATTCTATTGAGTGGCATAATACAGAGCTGTGACGTCATTACGTTCTTCGAATATTAACAGTATGAGTGTCTATTGTATTCTATTGAGTGGCATAGTACAGAGCTGTGACGTCATTACGTTCTTCGAATTTTAACAGTATGAGTGTCTATTGTATTCTATTGAGTGGCACAGTACAGAGCTGTGACGTCATTACGTTCTTCGAATATTAACAGTATGAGTGTCTATTGTATTCTATTGAGTGGCATAGTACAGAGCTGTGACGTCATTACGTTCTTCGAATTTTAACAGTATGAGTGTCTATTGTATTCTATTGAGTGGCACAGTACAGAGCTGTGACGTCATTACGTTCTTCGAATATTAACAGTATGAGTGTCTATTGTATTCTATTGAGTGGCATAGTACAGAGCTGTGACGTCATTACGTTCTTCGAATTTTAACAGTATGAGTGTCTATTGTATTTTATTGAGTGGCACAGTACAGAGCTCTGACGTCATTACGTTCTTCGAATATTAACAGTATGAGTGTCTATTGTATTCTATTGAGTGGCATAGTACGGAGCTGTGACGTCATTACGTTCTTCGAATATTAACAGTATGAGTGTCTATTGTATTCTATTGAGTGGCATAGCACAGAGCTGTGACGTCATTACGTTCTTCGAATATTAACAGTATGAGTGTCTATTGTATTCTATTGAGTGGCATAGTACAGAGCTATGACGTCATTATGTTCTTCGAATATTAACAGTATGAGTGTCTATTGTATTCTATTGAGTGGTATAGTACAGAGCTGTGACGTCATTACGTTCTTCGAATATTAACAGTATGAGTGTCTATTGTATTCTATTGAGTGGTATAGTACAGAGCTGTGACGTCATTACGTTCTTCGAATATTAACAGTATAACGCGATTGCGAGGCTCAGGGGCTGAAACATGACAATTATCAAACACTAAACAGCAAATAAGGCAGATTAGTTTTTCTGAGACTAAATACAGTTTTATTTTAACAAACTCGATTCTTATATATTTTAACAGACTCGAGCGCCTGATAGTACTGCATAGACTTACGAAAATATAATAATCCAGCTTAACTGGTTACATGCTGAGGAAGCACAGCCATTAGTCTGAGAAGAGAAATGTTTTATGAAGTGTTATTATGGTGTTTTATGGGATGAAGTGTTATTCGTAAAAATAGATTATCGAGAGTCGGCTGAAACAGCGTTTCAAAATTTTCGCTTGCACTAAATGGAATTTATAAAAAAAACCTTAATAAATCTTAAACACAATTAAGAGATATTTTCAGAAATTATTTGGCATCAAAATACATTTAGATCATACCATGTCTATAAATGAGAACAGGCTTTCAAAATTTATAATATCAAGATAAATCTCATTTCCGCACACAAATAAGACAGACGAACTGTTTATGGAAATTCTAAAATTAAGCTCATGTGAGTTTGTCATATGGGTGGTAGCAAGTCAGAAAGGTTACTCCTGAAACAAATATCTCTTCACAAAATTATTTTCACAAGAAATCCCTTCGTTTAACAATATCCTTGCGACTTATGTGAAAATCTCCTTCGTTTAACAATATCCTTGCGACTTATGTGAAAAATATGTGAAAATCTACTCCATCCCATTCTTTTTCTTGGTGTAACCTATATAATTAGTAGAACCATTTTGCTTACAGTAATAAACCCTATCTAATGCCATGGCTTCTGATGATCTGCAAGAAAAAGCAAATTTTGCAAGACTCAGTAGACTTTTAGTTGACAAAGGAACTGAGGCTTTGAGAAATACATTTGATACCATCCATCCACCTGTTAGTCTACCTGGAGTACTGGCTACAAACAAAACATCTCTTCAAAAGTTAAAACCTCGAGTTATTAATAATTCCCAGTGGGATTTACTGTTTCCTCCGTCTGGCAACCCACCAGATTCAAAAACCTTTGATGTCACATTACTTACAGTTCTATTCCGGAACATTTGTGGTTTTCCATCAACAGGATGGAGTGTAATGCCTCCGGATACTGATAGATCAACACAGGCGAATATCACAAGAATCAAGTGTTACAGAAATGAAGTTATTGCACAAGTAAAAACAACCAGAGTTGACAATTCAACATTTCAATCTTTGTGGAAAAAAATTGCCCAGGCATTGTTAGAATTGGGCATTCCACCGAGTGATGTCGACGATTTAGAAAAATGTCCGTTAGAACCTGAAGAATTAGAATGTTCCAGTGATTCACTAAGAGAATATGATGAAAAAAATGGTAAGTATAAACAAAATTAATTCGTACCCAGGCGGCAGCAGCAGTACTCAGCTACTATACAGAGATCAGTGGCCAAGAAAGCGTGAGCGCGCGGGGGTGTTTCTGGCAAATTGTGTCGATTTCTGGCAAATGTGATTTTAAAGTGCTTTTTTCTGTACTTTGATGAAAATTTCTAACAACTATGGACGCGCCGGAAGAAAGTCACCACATGAAGGTATTTAATGCTACCGTTTTGTTTTTCTTTATATTAATACGGCTATTTTTGAATATCCGATTAGCCAATTATCGTGTATTGGCTTTGTGGAATGTCACAGATGTCCTCTATTCTATAATTTCAATTAAATCAAATAATGTTTTCCTGGTTGGGAAAACGTACGCTAAAATGTAATAAGGGATTCTAAAAAGACAAAAACTGACATTCATCTATTGTATATTTTTGCGCACTATTTTGCATATTTATAAAATACCAGCCAAAGGCAGCAGTTTTTAATCCTGAATGATGTCGACATCTTTTCTGTTAAAATGTATGAATATGTTCTGCAATAGGAGAATTAAGTTCTGATGATATATTTTAATGCATCCTTTAAACAACTTTTTAAGAGTAAGAGTCAACAGCATTTAAGTATATGTTTATATTTTATATGACTGTTTATGATTAAGCTTAAGCAATGCTAACATATATTTTCTAGCCACTCATGATACAGCTGAATGTGAGGTTTATTAGGAGACATCAAGTAAATCAGTCAGTAATTCAGAAAAGCTTGGTTTTGGAAAACATCCATTGACACCAGAGGTTAGTTTGTGTTTATGAACTCAGAATATTTGGGTAATACTTCATATTGTAAAGAATATTTAGTATTAGTTTATTTTATACAGGGGGTTGAGCTTCAACGAACATTTAAAGAATATGCAGTCAGAGAAGAAATGAAATGGCATCCAAACGTGATGAAATTTTGGAGTACTGGGACAGTCCAAATGAAAATACGGAACAATTTTTGCTAATCGAAGATCAAAAAAGCATTTTTACCAGAAGCATTAATTAGGTCATTATTAATTTAACAAAAATAAGCAAAAGGAATGTTATGATTGGGGCTAAAGATTATGCAATGTTGCATGCTTGCTGAAAACACATAATATACTATACTGGTTTCCTTACTTAAAATAATAATAAAAGTTGAACAGACATTCTTTGTGCCGTTGTCAAGGCACTGAAGTGTTTATTTCTCGTGCATTTCTCCAGTAAATTATGCGCGCACATGCATTCATTCTGTAAAGGTAAGCAAATATTCGCGTTTGTGGCGGACTCTATGATGATGATGATCTACGCCAGTTTCTTCGAAGAATTACTTTTTTGGAGGGCTGTTCTCATGCAAGCAAAGAACTTCTGCCGAAAGAACCGAATACCTGACTTTCAAATACTTCAAATATCGCCTTATATACATCAAGCATGTCGCCATGTTTAATTCATTTTCTGCCAGAAGCTTCCTTCCTTAAAACCACTGCGCACCCCTGCGCGCTATAACGCTTTCTTTGGCCACCGATCTCCATATATTTAATAGCTTACTGCAACTTTTATCATAGGCAGCCCACACTTTGACTTGCGCGTGTGATACTCGCGCGCCTATCGCGCTTACGTTGTAATTTACTTCGAATATATATATAGGTATTAAAGAGTTTATCAAAACACTACAGGTATATGTTACGCTCAACGGTGAAAACGAACAAAAACTGAGAACAGTGTAGCTCGATACCTTGACTGGTGACTTAATTGGACGGCGAATAGCTCTATAGTTGGAAATCCATATTTGATAATAATGGATGAGAACGCTAATTGTGGGTTAATGCCATGATAAAACACATTTTCGGGTAACCTATTATTTGATGTTGTCGGCTTAAATTAGCATCGTCTGGTGTATGGCTTTATAGATTTAGCCTTTTTGTCTCTCTTCAGTTTGTGTGTCCCTATTTTCTGGCTGTGCTCAGATTTTATAGGCTTGGCTTGGGAGAGACCTAAAACTACAAGTCATTTCTCCTACGCAATACAGTGCGTTGTACAAGTCGAAGTTTACTAAATTCATAGAATATATAATATATGTATAGTTATAATATTAAAGCATAACACGCTATTATAATTATAATTACATGATATTACGGATTTACGGTATCATGTAACATATAATCCCCGAGCGGGCGCGGAGCGCCTGCGAGGGTACTAATTCCGCTCGGAGATTAGGAATTACACCCGAAACCCGGTAGAACATAGGCGAATCCAAAGTTGTCCAAATTCTATGTCATGGACGGTCGACGTTGGGTGGTTTTGTAAGTTGTGCGCATGCTCGAGTAACGTCTGGTAATCAACGAACGTTCGAAAAAAAAATCAACGAACGTTCTGATTATCTAAGACAGAAAGTTTGTATTTCCTGGCTTCTGATTAGTTGATTTTTATATCAAGATCAGCTGGAAATCTGGGTTGCGTATGCTTTTATAACCTTTGTATTTCAAAAAGGTGCTTAGGTACCTACAAGTCTGTGTATGACGTGTATAACGTTTCTCCTGCCACAACGATCTTAGTTTTCATAATCAGCTAGCATAGGCATCTTGACTTACTTCAACCTCGTTCCCAGGGCCTTTTGGGACTTTACGAGAAAGAAGAGGAAAGGCCTTAGGATCGGCCGTTCAAAATACCCACATCTCGTGGATATTTTGAATAAGCATAATTTATCATAAAATTTTGCCCAATAATATTTTGCCCCAGCCCAGAATCAAGGTAAAAGGCCCTGGGAACGAGGTTGGACTAACAGGTGGGCATTTTGTTCGCGCTGACTGAGAATTGGGGGCTTATTTCTTCTTCAATTTGCATTTTCGCTTCGAAGAACTAAAAATACAGATTTTGGTGCAATATTTTTGCTATTTACTCTCAAGCATGTTCATTAAAAATTCGCTATCGTTATTGAGAAAGAAAAGCGGTTTACGATAAGCTAAAATGCGTCGAAATCGGTTACGAAATGGAATGTATTTTCGCTGGCGAAAAATGAAATAATTGCAATTCGACACCAAATACAGGATTTTAAATTAAAATGTCGGTAAAATATCTCAGAAGTGGTTCCAAAGCTCAATCTTGCGGATGACACAGTTGTCAATATACCTCTACTAACGAATTTCATTGCAATTAATCAACCCATCTTCATTGAAGTATAGCTCGAAAATTAGGGTATCCTCACACCCTGAAATTAGGCGAAAGTTAAATTAAATCAAAGTAAATTAAATCAAAGTTTTATCTATAGTTTTTTTATTAGAATTAAGATTCAACATGGGAAAAATGCGCCAAGGGGGGAAAATTGGCATTGTATGTGTCCACTGTTTTTGACATGTTTTGTTTGGTATTTTGAAAAAGTCACCAGGAAGAAAAATAAAGCTTGAACAATACTGGTGAGTATTATAAGAAGAGGTATGTAAATTATAGAATGTTGAAAAAAACTTGGTCCATTAGCAATGTTTTGGATTGTATGAGGTGTCACATATAGCATATTTAAATTATTGTTGCATTTATATAGAGATCCATTCATAACTCAATAGATCAAGAATTTGATTATCCTCACACTTTGTAACTAAATTTTTCTGTTGGATTTTTCACCTGCCTTTGTAAAAAAAACAGTTTTAGGACCACGAAAAATGCGCGCGATACTTTTTAGGAGTAATGAAAAGGATGAAATAAGAAAAGTTAAATGTTGGTTTCCACTCGTCAGGGTATAATTTAACTTATTCTATTGTGTTTACTAAAATTTTGGTCTAAAATATGCCTGTGGTATCTGAGCATTTTGTAGAACTCATTTTTTGGTCTAACTTAGCCTCCTTTGCTTTTTTCAGCTGAAGGTATCTGCTCATATTAATGTTGGTGTTAAATATTCTAAATTTGAGACCTCATAGAATCCAAAACATTGCTAATGGACTAGGTTTTTTTCAACATTCTGTAATTTCTAGAAATGTTTTTGTAAAATACCAAACAAAACATGTCAAAAACAGTGGACACATACAATGCCAATTTTACCCCTTCGGTGCATTTTTCCCATGTTGAATCTTAATTCTAATAAAAAGACTATAGATAAAACTTTGATTTAAGCCTAATTTCAGGGTGTGGGGATACCCTAGATGGGTTGATTAATTGCAATGAAATTCGTTAGTAGAGGTATATTGACAACTGTGTCATCCGCAAAATCGAGCTTTGGAACCCCTTTTGAGACATTTTACTGACAGGTTAATTTTTTGAAGAACAAGTGTGACTTATTTTTTAAAATCAGCTTGAATCCAACTAGCTCTGTAGCTGTGGCAAAAATCCTGTATTTGGTGTCGAGATGCAATTATTTCATTTTTCGCCAGCGAAAATACATTCCATTTCGTAACCGATTTCGACGATTTTAGCTTATCGTAAACTGCTTTTCTTTCTCAATAACAGTAGCGATTTTTTAATGAACATGCTTGAGAGTAAATAGCAAAAATATTGCACCAAAATCTGTATTTTTAGTTCTTCGAAGCGAAAATGCAAATTGAAGAAGAAATAAACCCGCAATTTTCGGTCAGCGCGAACAAAATGCCCACCTATGGTTTGAATTTCATAATTTATTACAATCCTGATTGGGCTCACTGTTAGTTAATCAAACTCGAGGATTTTTTTAGAATATAGCTATTATCGCTGATATCAACTTGATAACTCATGAAAATTTATGTATAACAAATCCTTTTGTTTTTCCCACTAAAACTTATCTAAGGCCACTATTGCTTCAGGACGATCACGATGAAAAATGACGTACTTGCGTACTATTATATCCATTTTTACAGTAACCTCGCCCAATCTCATGGCTTCTGACGAACTGCAAGAGAGGGCAAATTTTACAAGACTCAGTAGACTTTTGGTTGACAAAGGAACTGAGGCTTTGAGAAATAAATTTGATACCATCCATCCACCTGTTAGTCTACCTGGAGTACTGGATGCAAACAAAAGATCTCTTCAAAAGTTAAAACCTCGAATTATTAATAATTCCCAGTGGGATTTACTGTTTCCCTCGTCTGGCAACCCAGATTCCAAAACTTTTGATATAACATTACTTACAGTTCTATTCCGGAACATTTGTGGTTTTCCATCATCAGGATGGGGTGTAATGCCTCCGGATACTGATAGATCAACGCAGGCGAATATCACAAGAATCAAGTGTTACAGAAATGAAGTTATTGCACAAGTAACAACAACCAGAGTTGACAATTCAACATTTCAATCTTTGTGGAAAAAAATTGCCCAGGCATTGGTAGAATTGGGCATTTCACAGAGTGATGTCGACGATTTAGAAAAATGTCCGTTATGATATTTTGAATACGTCTGCAAGAAACAAGTCCTAAAAAACTATGACCAATGCCAGTCGTATGATGGTGTTGTTTAAGATGTTCATTATGGTAGTTACAGTCATGTTGATGGTGATAGTTCTCATCTATGATGGTGGTGATGGTGCTGGTCTCTACGATGGTGCTGATGGTAATTGTGCTGGTTATGAAAATAATGGTAGAAATTGTGGTAACTATATTAGCTGTATTTTGTTCCTGAAATTTCATGCTGATGAAAAAGAAAGATAACGGAACTCAGTGACGTCAAACACTAGAACGATAATTAGGGGGGAGTTGAAGATTCATATATTCAGTTATGCCCGACGGATTTCTTTTGTAAGTGCAATAGCTTAGAATAGAAATCCGTCGGGTAGAACTGAGTATATGAATAAACACCACCTCACTTATCGTTCTAGCTACGTTCCTAATAGAACTATAAGAATGTACATTGGAACTACAATGGAACTACAAGAATTATGTACATTACAGGGAACGTTCGTTTTTTAGCTGGGAAGGAAGATATTTATAGTCTGAAGCGGAGCTGGGAAATTGTAAAAACTTGTCTAAAATGTGAATAATATTATGTTCAAGACATCTGATGTTCATGAAAAAGAAGGTCACGAAACAACACAACAATTATGTCTTAGGCGTGTTTCAAACGTCGTTTTTTTATTTTTAATGCGCTCGACACTTGAAAGAAGAACGACGTTTGAAACAGGCCTTAACTCGCCCAGAACCAGGACCTGATTATTCGAATCTAGAAATGTTTTTGTAGTATATTTTGTAGAAAATAATACGCAATTTTTTTAATTCCCAAGCGCTAAGTTCCATTAAATCCCGTTCTCCACTTGTAGAATTTATTCTCGCGAACTGATAAAGAATTAGGAAGAGATCCTACATTTTCGCGGCGAATTTCTTCGCGGACCAATCACATCACAGGTTTTTAGATTCCGGTTCGCGTCGCGTGAATAAATTCCCCGAGTGGAGGCCCAGCTGATGTGAATATTTTCTATGAGAATGAAATATCTGTATAAGACATACGAATGGGAGAGCTTTGTTTTGTTAACTAATAAAACGTGGTGTCTTTAATAAACGAACACGCAACTATATTGATCTGTAAACAAACTAATATCAAGTGTTGAAATAGGATATTATGACTTAGAAAGTGTCTGGTGCACACAAGTACATATCTGCTTGATATTTAATCGTAGGCTATTGCCAGCATTTATTGTAATTTGTATAGATTTGTAATCATTTGTAAATCGTTAACCATCTTATTACATATTTTACTCAGTTGCTGAATTTTCTAATTTTCTATATCTGTTGTTGTTAAAGTTCTTATATAACGCGCAGTCAATGAGTGTAAAAGTTGTCTGGGGCCTTGGCGAAATATTATCTTGGAGGTAATTACACCAAGAACCAGGGTTGCCAGATTGGCTGAATAATTTAGCTGAATCATTATTACCCTCAAGAAAACAGAGGAAACAAAAGATGAGGTACCTGTGCTCAATCTTATTAGTGCTCAAGCTACCAAAACCAAGGCCGGGCACGGATGAAATGGGCACGGGTGCACATTTCAGCCGTGCCGTGCAAAAATAATTGAGTGTGGTACTTTTGTTGCCAATCTGTTCACAATCTATCAAAAAATCATCTTTGCAAACCTTGTTAGTCGTCGAGACATGGGCTCACAGATCGCAAATTTTGTAGGGGGGTGACTGCAGCAAGATTGGCCTCTGAAATACCAACGACGCGATATTTCACCGATTTTAGCAAATTTGTGCGAATTTCGGGTACAAATTCCCAAGCCTATCACGAATTCTTTCCAGTCTAGGGGCATGCAGCCCTTCTCTCCCCACCTCATACAATTTTATTAGGTTGCCCCTCTGCTGCATAACGACTGACCTCTATTGTGATTTGAAGCGCGGACGGAATCCTGGTGGGCTGGTACCAAGTATTTATACGAAAGTGCTCAGATTCTTCCTTTTAACTCTTTTAGTAAAGTTTTTAATATCGAGTTAGAAAATCCGTCAAAATGACCATATTCTCGACCTAGAAGGTTTCGATTCGTCGCTTTTAACCAGGATATTCACTTATGAGTCTTTAGCTCAGTGTTTGAGAAGAGATGAAACGGTTTTTACAAAATTTATCGGGGCCAAAGACCAGATTGCCGAAGGTATGTGCTTGATTTCCTTGTCAGTTTTCTCTCATATTTCGATATACGTGTGCTACATTACCTAGTTATCTTTAAAGCACAATATATCGTTACCGATCGCTTGGGTATATTGATGTTTTTAAAGTATATTGTGAATTGTTGATCTATATTAGAATGGCAAGTTGAAATTAATGCTTTATAAATTGTTCTAATTTTGTTGGCTACGAACGAAATCCATCTGTGGACGTGTTACAATCGATATCCTACTCGAAAATACCGCGATGGACATTGCTATAGTTTTGTTTGATGAATTTTGTGTATAAATGTGTTGTTAATGCATATATTAAAATTTTAGTACTGTACAGACCCCAAACTCAAACTTTCAAAATATCATCAGCTCGTGTGACAGTGAAATCAATTTGGAAACCTTTACTTCATAAATTAGATTGAACTTTGGTTCGCATGAGCAGGCTATACATTTGCAGTGTGGTGTGTGTGATCTCATTAATCCCAAACGCTGTTTTCAAATTTGTTATCCTGCCTGCTGAGATAAACTTACCAGAGCTATTACTAATTAATTAAAGTGCAATTATTTTAACAAGTCCTTTGAGGCTTTGACTGACAAGTAAAATTGCTCTGTTATTCGGCAGAATTCAACACCAAAGTCGGCTACTTTTCATTGTATTTTTATGGTCACATTCATTGTATCTCCAGCTAAAAGTTAGCAAGGGATATATATGACATATCTTGCTGAGGATTACAAAATGCTTGAAACCCATAATCGTGTTTATGGCCACAAATGTTTTACAATTTAAATTTTAAACCGACAATAAAACATTGAATAGTCTGTTATAACAATTCAGATGGGCTTTTCTAATTAGAAATTTCAATATGTCGAACAAATGTAGGCATATTTGTCACCAGATTTTCAGAATCATTCAGCATGCCATGGTCTTAAGGAAATTTGTATAAGTTTATTAATCGACAGTATTTCCTCACAGACAAGTGAAATATTTTGAGTTGAACATGATATATACTAAAACACACAAACTTAATTGCATTTTCTACTTGCGTTCTTGCTTACCGCAAGTAAAGAGGTTGTTTTCTTTCGACATGCTATAGGTGGGTTTTCGCTGGTGTTCCTTGTCAGAGCAAGCAGTGGCAGTCACTACGCACTGAAACGAATTTCAGTTAACTAGAATTATTGTATTATTATAGAATTATTAATAGAATAATCAGTTAACAATTGCATTTATTTAAAGTCATGTGACAAGAATGAACCAATCACATTTAAAATACACAGCACCTATACAACAATATATGTTATATCAAATTATCAATGCAAATATCACATGACTAAAAGGCTGAGACATATTTTACTAAATTTATAAATAATAATTTCAGTTTTCTAGTTCTTTTAATCTTACATCCACATGCCATCACATTTTACACTATGTGCATTTATTGTTACATGGTTTCTTTCTCATGTATAATACCAGCTTGTATACAGCTAATTGATAAAAAGTCATCCTCTGGCTATCATGTTAACTATGTATTTAGACTCCACCATCTGTTCCAACCAAAAGTATTTTAACAAATACACTGTACAGTCATTGATCAGTCCATCTAGTAGAACAATATTTGTCAATCACTGAAATAAATTATCTGTCAGTTCAGCAATACTTTAGTTGCAAATATTTTCATTCATGAGGTTGGAGCTTAATCAGACCCAATGCAATCCCAGCTAATGTTTGACAGAGTTCTCTATGGCTTAGTTGAGTATTTTACATAATGACATTTCATGTAGCCTTGGAAATCAATATTTGTCACAAAAACATTATTAGACCTGAATTACAGATTGCAAGTGAAATATGTTGCAAGTAAATACAGAGGTGTTGTCTCTAGGGTGGTTGGGTGGTCTTCATGACAGTAATTGTATTTTTTATAAACTTAAATTTGTTTATATTTTCATAGACTGGCCCTGCATTTATGACCTACATCACCGATAAATTATAGATTAAAAAACATGAGTTAATACTAATCTCTAAACCAAGCATGCTTGCATGCATTAACGAAGTCTCAGGTTCGGTTATCGCGGATGCAATCTCAAAACTGGTTAAAACTGTCCCCACAATGATTATTTGAATTAAAAATACGATCCTCAACAAATGTCTCACATAACAAACAATTCACACGATAATATTTGCATTTTGCCAATTTTGCAAAAGCTTTTTGACATGCATGAATGGTGAACCCACATGTTGCTATATCAACGTCAATGTTTTTTTCTATATAATAGGTCCATGTGTTGCAGAGGTTGTGTGGTCAGCTGGGAGCGAAAGGCAGTCGCTACCAGCGACCCAGTGACAGGAACAAAAGAGCGTTACAGCATGTATGACAGATTCCACGAGAAAAATTCCAACAACCCAGACGATGTGCTTCGACCCGCAGCTCCACGCAAATGTAAACAGCGAGTCGCACGAACAACTTCACAGTGTAATGAACAAAGCCAACTATTTCCTCAACATGATGCAACCAGCTACACACGTATTCATGAAACGACTTCTACGAAACGAGAAAAAAAAAACAACGAGGAGATCGGTCGTCAAGAGCAGGCCCTACAAAAGCATGGATTAGCAGCACATACGACTGTTGATTCATTAGGAAGGCTCATTATCGCTGGAAATATAGGTAGAGCATTATTGTATTAGGCCTACGCATATATACCTATATAAAATTTTTATCGAATTCATATAATTATACCTTGCAAAATTTGCTTTTAGAATTCAATGAAATCTGAAAATTCGCGTCATCGCGTCCGGTGTGCGTATTTCGGCCTTTATGGTCTCGAGTGAAATGCGCCCGCGCGTGGCCACACGAATAAAAACAAAAATATGAAAAATTTTACAAGTCTCATTCGGCCGTACGCCGTACGGTATGCCGAGGATTCAAACATCGATTTCCGATACGAAAATAACGTTTGTTGCAATCGCTTACTGTCTTTTTATAAAGGTACGATTACAAGAGTCGATAAAAACCTTTATTATTGCGACAATTGAATGAAACATTTCGAATGCAGTACGAATAGCAAATCACACTCGGCGTACTGTTCCAGTACGAATAGCCACTTCGTATATTTAAACCGAAAATTGTCATTTTCTCTAATCATATACAACTATAAAAGAGGTACTATACCCACTGTTGCACTCTTTCTTTTAAAGGGACTAGAAAATCCACCGAAGCTTATTGGAATGTCTGGCATCGTGTATTCCAGTGAAATCCCCCAGCGGAAGCGACCTTTTGTGGTTGTTGTATTACTTAGCACGAACATACATCGAAGTCAGACAAGAAGATGTATCCCAGAAATTGGAGAGCCTTGCGTCTAAACTCGTGAATTCGAACAATCCCGATGATCCAGGTGATTTTCTTTATAGTCTTTTACGCTACACTTCGTCTGTAGGCGATGAGGCACTGCAGAGGTAATGTATAAAGTAATTAACATGTCGTTGAACAGATCTCTATCTGTATACATACAGGGTGAATAAAAAACTGATCACTGCATGTTCAAATACAAATTTGCTGCATATTTGGCGAATCATTGATCATGAATCTAAAAGCGAAATCTTGTCCGCGTTGAAAGTTAAAATGTATTCTAATTGTTCGAGATGATAAAACTGTTATCAACTGCGCCTGTTGGAAATTCATCTAATTACGACAATTATTATGAGCATCAGTTTTTTAAACTCACCCTAAAAATTATTCAAAAAAGACAAAAGTGATATGGCAATATTATATACAATTAATTTAGTATAATACCTATCTGTTGCTTGGCTCAATTATAAATGTTCCGATCTATTGATATCGCATGGCATCGATATAAAACATCCATACCATTAAAAATTTAGTGCCTGTCGTGGAGTTGAAAGGGTGCAGTTAGTATGCCGAGGTTGTGGAAAACACAGGATGTTGTCTTCACAGTTTTAAACCTGCCAAGTAGAGAAAAATGTCTTCAAACGGTGGAAAATATGCTGCTAAACTACTTCGAGCTGGAAGATAAGGAACTTAAATCTTCATTTTGGTACGGATATATAGTATAGCATTTCGTCATTAATATAATATACATTGTGATCATGCTTTAGTATATACGATAGACTATTGAGACGTGTTGATGAATTACAGTGTCTGTGAAGAAAAAGAGAAAGATATCGTAGAATTGCGACAGCCAATGAAACTACCATCAAGTCTAATTTGCAACATCCTCCCAGTAACAAAGAATGAGGAAAAACAGCATGTTCGCCTTAAGTTACAGGAATTAATTGGCGTTCACGACCTGTTGGGACGAAGACATACATACAAACTTTCAGCTTTTATAGTAAGTATAAGTATAATCGTATATTCAAACGATTTGAAAAGCGGGCTCGATTTCGTTTGTACGGGCTTCGCGTTGACGTGCTCAATTAAATGTCTCATGTAGACACACTATGGAATTGATGCAAAACAGCAAAAGAGGGTCATTTCAACTGTACAGTTTTACGAAATAAAAGGTGGTTTCTAATCGACGACAAACTGGTCAAGCCACAACTGTTGTGCGAAACCATCTTCAACGGAGACGTATATATATGCTGTTTTACAGCACAGAAGGTTTGCTATAAAACGTTTTGAAAAAACCTAAGTATAAGTGTAAGATCAACTATATATAAACGTACGACATCGACAGACCATTCCGACAAACGTTTACATACTGTCACAACCATATTAGATTTTTATTAATTATTATCCTTAAAGCGTGGTGTAAGCCTATAAAGTATAATCAACCCTTTACTTGTTACGCTCCTGAATGTTAGCAGTCTTCATTTTAATCCAAATTTGAAAAGATAGGAATGTCTTTCCTTATTTAGAACATTTTGAGGTTCAAATTATGACTGATGAAAGTACATCGATATCAGAGCAAGGTGCATATTTTTATATTTTAAACTTTTTGTTGGCGATTTGAATAGAACCAATATACTGGATACCAGGAACACGCCGATTTCACTTTAATGAACCGAAATAGGCTTTTCTGTTTGTTTAACCAAACCAAAATTTATTTCTCACTAAATACAGATTATGGTTGCTTTTTGTTTTGGTTTTCATGCAACCAACTGAGTTTAAATATTATTCCACATGTCTTTGGCTTGAATGCGTTCCCCGTAGGCGCGTCTTGGCTTGAGCCGTTATATCTCATAAATAAAATTCTAAATGGACATCTGATCTCGAACCTATTAACTAACTTTTTAAGTGCTCTCCGAACCGATACTATACAGTACGATTACTTTAATCGGTAAAAAAACGTTACTTCTTGATAATTATATAACGCATTGTTAAGACCGAAAAACGGTAATAAATTTTTAATCAATGGATAAAACAATAGATTCGAAATATGTTTTAGACCAGATAAAGGCTAAAATGGAAGTAACGAGACCCCCGAGTCTACCTGAATGTGTACAGGACAGTACACTCACAGAAAAGGTTTTATTGAAACCATATCCTGCATGATCTTTGTTTGATTTACCAACGCTCTAAACGTTTTAGTATAAACAGTATATAAAATCCATTCATTCCTTGATGTAGGTTGAGAGGTATTCGGATTTGCGCAAGGGACATCAGCTACATCACATTGTACCACACATCAACGGAACCGTCGGAACGCCGTTAATGTATTACGACATCAAGCTGCTTGATCAAGCGCCTTCCGACTATGAAAAAACATTGCTTGAACAATACGCAACCAAACATGGAGAAACCTATAACGAAGGATGGCTAAATGATAAGGTTATCACTGGTGTAATTCATATAGTATTCCGAGAACCCACATAGCTACGCCTACAGTAACTCACATAATAAACATGTATTTTTCTATTGAAATTTAGATAATAAACAATTTTCTAATCGAGTACAAAGAAAATCTCAGGTAGGGGAAAGTAAACTACTGTGTGTACTGAAACTAGAATAACAACTGCAGATAGTGTTCTTAACAGTTTATTATATGAACAAGGGTAGTTTACTGGGAACTAAAAACACTAGTGGAACGCTCATACGCTCATGGAACGCCACTACATCCGGGACCAGGTGCGCGTATTTTTCGTATGTCACACTGAGGGGATTGAGGAATAACATTCAAAATATTTTTCGCTTAAATCCATATAATAAACAGAACATTATACGGTTCGCTTGAAGATATGGCACTCGTGTCAAAAACATTTCTCACTCGTTCGGTGCGCTCACTCATGAGATTGTTTTTGCTACTCAAAAATCCGTGTTATATCCTCTATATTGAAATAAGACCACTTGGTATTCCTTACTTTGTGCAGTATATATTAATCAGCTAAATATTTATCTTTACTAGGGTACCAATCGTGTAGCAGTCATGAGCAGCTTCATGTACACAAAACTATGCAAATATGGCGTCCATTCCATAACGAGATGGATTCAAAAAGGATGGATTCGTTTCTTCCACAAAAAAATTAGGTAGGCCTAGCTTATTCATGAAGCTACGTAGGCCTTCAATAGACAAATAAATGAAGTATTGAAAAAATGTTTTGACATTGATGTATTACTTAAAACACTCATTCAACTTATAGATTACTGATAGCACACCTTCAAGCAATATGTCTAGAAATGAGTCCACCAGATGTGAAATATTTTGATAACTCCACAAAATTTGAACCAAGACAACTTGATGGAAGTTCATGTGGGGTTTTTGTATGCATGGTAAGTGAAAAATACATTTGATATAAATTATTTAATATATTATAGTTATGTTTTTCCCATTGCTTCAATTACTAGCTGTAATGTCTAGTGGCATATTTTGTTGTTAGGTAGCTGGTTATATGGTCAATGGCTTGGATGTGAACTTTACACAGGTAATTATATCGAAGTACAATTTCTGGTAACTACATTATTTAAACCACAGAAAAACCCCTGCTGTATTTTAATATGTTTAAAGTTATGATAAATCATATTGCATTTTTTACCAGTAAAGGAAGACATACCATGTTTAAGAAAATACATGGAAATAACATGGCTGTTCGCCTAGCAAATCCTGAAAAAACCTCCAAATACCAATAAGGTCAGTTAAATGGATGTCACTTAAAATCTATTGTTGACATAATGGAATTTGTTGAGAACTATTCTCATTAACACATACTCTAAATTTTGGGTAGCAAGTAAAAGACAATTTATTTACCAGTACCAATTGCTTTTAGGAAACAAACTGAACATTACAATGAGGATGACCATGCCACATACACACTAAAACAAAGGTTACAAATATTCTGTCTCTATCAGATGATGGGTTAGAGTATGTCTTTAAAGAAGTATTAAAGGAAGGTGATAAAGGATTCTTAACAATTAGCTTGGTAATTTGTAAGCGATTTAGACAGATAGTGGGAAGAGACTCTTTTAGACACACCACTCACTTTGCCTGGTTAAACAGTGTGTGGGAATGGAATTCATCCATTTCATCATCAAAAGAATTCAAAGAGGAGAATTACAAAATGTATGAAATAAAAACTTGTTAAATTTCAATGTGGCATGTCATTTAAAGAAATGTATGGCTTTATTGGAAATGGTAAATTTGGCGAGTTCAGAAAATTTACTCAACTCTTGAATATCCAGGATTCTGCAGTAAAGATTGCATTAAAGAAAGCTAATTAATAAAGTTGGAAGTAATTACATCATGACTACATATGCCATAAACCTTTAAGAAAACATCATGTTTCATAATATCTGTTGAACATAAACATGCAGACTGATATTTTCATGGATAGCTGCCACTGTTAGACAGTCTTTGATGGTCATTGTATACATAATATACTGAAAACTCCACAAATTTATTAGAATTTTCATTCGCCTATGAAACATTTCAATTGGACATTGCGAAAGCCCAAGGGAAATTTTCATTTTCTTTGAAACTATCAATTTTCATTGTCTTTGAAAATATCAACTTAAAATTTGTTTGTAAATATATGCTTGTATTTAGTTGAACATTGTTGTCCATTTATAATATTCACATCTACAGGGTGAGTAAAAAAAACTGACATCTTTGAAATTCAAATTAGCTGCAATGTGTCTGTAATTGGCTGTAATGCGACAGAAGTTGCCTAAAATATCTCATGGGTATACGAAGCATATCAAATAGGTGAACCCATTAATTAACCTAGAACATAAAGTTTGTTGCCTTTGGGAGTTAAAATGCATTCTAAGCTCTGTAATAAAAAAAGAACGTTGAATTAGTTCAATTTTAAACACTTTCGCATTAATTAACCACGTCTTGTTGATTGTACACAATGGGAATTGTAAAATTCCAGCCATAAGTTCGCAGCTAATTTGAATTTCAAAGGTGTCAGTTTTTTTGACTCACCCTGTATATGATTCACATGTAAAATATTCACAATTATATAATTTTAATATATATATATTTTAGTTAATTTTACTTACACGATCTGCGCTGTATTTTCTCTTAGTAGTCTCAGACATTTTCTATTGGCAATGCTTAAACTCCTAATCCTTCCTTTGGCCAACTTGTCATATAAATCTCAATTTTTAAATATCTTTAAAATGGTCCGACATGTTGAATTAGAAAACAGATTTTTACTCAATAATGGCAGCATTTACATATTACTCCTCTATGTTGATAATCACTTCTCCATATATGGCCGGGGCTCTCTGCCTCTCTCGTGCGGGCCTTTTAATTTCCTGCCAAAGTCATGACCACTGACGTGCATATCGAACAATCGGACGAGCTTTCAATTCCTGTCAATCGTGTTTGTTTGCTTGGCTGCGCATTTGTTGTGTGTATATCTCTGTGGGGTTTAAGCCATTGAAACGAATTATCGCTTTCGAAGTTTTAATCAGGTACGTTTGATTATAAATGGTTTCATATCATCAACACTTACAAAGTAAATGTATAGACACGGTCGATTGTATGTGTATCTTGATACGGAAGCCGCAACAGCCGAGTGTGGCGTTGATTCTTTGTGCCTTTATTCAACTGGTCACCAATCTTTAAATGAATTCGTTTAAAAGATATACAGTATACGAAAAATTTAGGACTATCAGTCTATTATTTAAGTGGCTTGCCATTATTCCACAGCGCTATGATCGCGTTGTTATCTCGTGTGATACTGAAAATAAATTCCTCGCCTTATTTAAACGATTGCTACTATTCTATTCTACAATTCTAAGATATTTCAGGTTATCGCTTTTCATTATATTTATAGTGGAAATTAAATGTGAAGTACGCACCACATTCAACACGATATTCAAAAACATCGTATGACTCATTTCCATCATTCAAACGTTCGAAATTCAAATATTTTTCAAAACCCTTTCCAATACTTTACAACGGATATATATACAACACAGAGAGAGAGCGCACGTGTCAATCCAGCATGTAGGCAGCAGGCCGGTAAACCAAGCAGAGCGAAACATGATAAGGTTGTGAATAAAACTAAATATGTATGCTATATTTACAACAATATGTTAGATAGATTAATTTAAGGAAAGAAAGACCCGACATTTAAAATATAGAGAGATTAAGTGAACATTTGTAGTTCTTTGCTGGCTTTAAGTCATGCAAGTGTTATAAGGAAAGGTTATTATTATTATTATTATTAAAAATTTTATTTACAGACACTAGCCCCGTCAGTTACGAGTTACGACTGATTTCCACGGAGGGCGTCTACTTAATTACATTATGAGCGTCTACTTAATTACACTATACAAATATAAACTATATATAATATGCAGAATTAACTACTTGAATTTATGAGCCTCTTGAAACAATGAATCGATTGAGCAGACTTAGCTTCACGCGAAAGACTATTCCATAATACAGCTCCTCTATATTTAAAACTTCTTTTGAGAAACTCTTTCTTAGGTCTCGGGATTGATAGATCAGTATCGTAATGTCTCAGGTTATAACCATTTTCAATCACACTACGCTCAGAAAAGGATTCGCGAAGGCACGGAGCAGTACCGTTATTTAGGATATTATAAACGAGAACTGCTTTGTTAGTTTTATATTTAGTTTCGAGATTTTTCCATCTAAGCTGCTCCAGGAGTTCAGAGGAGCTTGTATTGTAGTCTGCCCCCGTTAACACCCGAGCAGCCCTATTTTGAAATTTTTGCAACGGATATATATACAACACAGAGAGAGAGCGCACGTGTCAATCCAGCATGTAGGCAGCAGGCCGATAAACCAAGCAGAGCGAAACATGATAAGGTTGTGAATAAAACTAAATATGTATGCTATATTTACAACAATATGTTAGATAGATTAATTTAAGGAAAGAAAGACCCGACATTTAAAATATAGAGAGATTAAGTGAACATTTGTAGTTCTTTGCTGGCTTTAAGTCATTGTGTTTGTCATTGTGTATTGTGTTTGATTAAGAGTGCTTCGAGAAAGGCGAGAATATGATAGTTACTCGATTTAGTTATGTAAAGAATTCTATAGTTATTGAAAACTAAGTTCTCAATAGAAGAAGGGTTATTCAAAGATAATGGCATATCGTTGAGTAGTGAGAACTGGTTTTGTAGTGTGGCTAAGAATTGAGCGTGCTCACACTTAGAGAAATGTTGGCCTACTGCACTAGAAGAGAGCCTAGTAGAATGCTCTTTCAAACGTACAGAAAGGCACCTTTGCGTCATGGCAATATAGGTTTTCCCGCAGCCAGGGCAAGCGACTTCGTATACTGAATTGCTACGAGATAAAGGAGGAAGTTTGTCTTTGTAGGAAACAAAATAAGACAACCTTTTAGACTTAGTGTCGTAAATAGTGACGAATTTCACCGGTTTGGAAAGAAATCTTTGTATTTTATTGAGACAGGATTTAAGTAGAAAACCGCCCTGATTTCCGAGATAAGGTATACGGATCCAGATTTTGGGCAATAGATTATCAACCGCTTCATGAATAACCGTATTGACAACGGGAGTGGAATTTGGAAAATACTTAGTTTTGAGTTTATTTAGCGTAGAGTATATAACATTATTCGGATAACCATTCCAAGACATGAGGGATTTGATCATTTTAATTTGACTATTGAAAAGCTTTTCCGAACTACAAATTTTAAAAGCACGGTGGTAAACGGATTTCACCCAAGCTGTTTTTGCGGTAGAATGGCTCGAAACTAGAGAAATGCGAGTACTGACCAGTTTGAGTGTCTTTACGATAAACGTCAGTACCATCGACCGTGGTTTTTATATCTAAAAAATGTGCGATGCCATCGGGAAAAGTGCCAACTGTGAGATTAAGGTTAGGATCGAAACTATTAAACTTTGTTACAACACTGGAAATATCGGAAGGCTTAACTAAGATTGTGTTTTAACAAAGCCTAATAGTTTCCGGGGCGGTTTTCTGCTTAAATCCTGTCTCAATAAAATACAAAGATTTCTTTCCAAACCGGTGGAATTCGTCACTATTTACGACACTAAAAGGTTGTCTTTTTTTGTTTCCAACAAAGACAAACTTCCCCCTTTATCTCGTAGCAATTTAGTATACGAAGACGCTTCATTGGCATGACGCAAAGGTGCCTTTCTGTACGTTTGAAAGAGCATTCTACTAGGCTCTCTTCTAGTGCAGTAGGCCAACATTTCTCTGAGGCATGAGCACGCTCAATTCTTAGCCACACTACAAAACCAGTTCTCACCACTCAACGATATACCATTATCTTTGAATAACCCTTCTCCTATTGAGCACTTAGTTTTCAATAACTATAGAATTCTTCACATAACTAAATCGAGTAACTATCATATTCTCGCCTTTCTTGAAGCACTCTTAAAGTGCCCATGTCATAAAATTGAAATTTAGATTTTTAGAATCTTTGTTTGAAATGAGTTAGTAAGTTCTAAATCAAAGCTGAAACTGGACTTTTATATTCGAGTTATTGCCATCAATATTGCCATCTAAACATTGATTTTATTGGAATGAAAACTCTGAAAACCGCGCAAATGAGACTAGTGCGAAACAAGGTGTTTGACGTCACAATAGGAACTCGTTCGACGCGACAACTTGGTAACTCTATTGCATGGAGTAATAAGTAGAAGCTAACCTCGCAAAAAAGTGGTTGTTCTTAGTGTTAGTTATACACCTAAGGAAATGCGCTCGGATAACGGCGGCAATTTTATTGGCGGGGAAAAAGAGTTACGGGAAGCGATATCCGAATGGAACCAAACCCAAGTCCACGAGTTTTTATTACAAAGGGATATTAAGTGGACTTTCAATCCCCCGGCTAGTTCCCATTTCGGTGGCGTATGGGAGCGATGTATCAGGACAGTGCGCAAGGTCCTGAACGCACTACTCAAGGAACAGGTTTTGGATGACGAAGGATTGGCTACGTTAATGTGCGAAGTAGAGTCGGTAATTAATGGACGGCCCATTACAAAATTATCGGACGATCCTCGTGACTTGAGCCCTCTTACCCCAAACCACCTGCTGCTGCTACGTTCTGGACCAGTTGTACCACCAGGAAGTTTCGTGAAGAACGACAAGTACGGTCAACGCAGATGGCGTCAGGTGCAATATCTAGCAGATATATTTTG